GCAAAATTCAAAATTTCCTACCAACGAAAAAGTATTAGGTGTGTCCCGCGCGCTCATATGACCTTATGCAGTTGCGAGCGCCGTAAAACCCTATACTAAACAAACAAACACACACACACACACTCGCGCACCTAGTATTCTCAGATTCTCAGAACCGTTGTTCCCATGGCCATCTTTCCTTTATAACATATTTATTCATTGCCTTCCGATATTTTTTTTTAATCGAAGTGACTATTCGGACTCGATAGACAAAAATTATATTCGGACTCTGAATTGAGTCCAGCATTACGTCTTCGGACTCGAGTCCCAATAGAGCTGGCCTATTAGGCCATATTTTTTTTTTTTTTTTTTGGAATGTCAAGTAGGCCTACCTCTGTTTCTCACGAGTGAAAGATAATTAGTCATCAGTTTGTCAGATGCATAACAACAATAAAATTTAGTATTGCCGTTTCTCAGGGGATGACAACTATAGTGCAAGGTCTTCCAGAGTGTCAGTCATGATTCACCAATTATGTGGGGCAGCATGAAGATCTACTGAACACAGTGAAGAGACGAAAATTAAAATGGTATAGGCATGACACAAGATCCACAGGGCTTGCCAAAACAATCCTGCGAGGAACCATACAAGGAAAGAGAAAGAGAGGAAGGCAGAGGAGACGGGAGGACAACATTACAGAGTGGAAAGGAAAGATGATGGGTGACAATCCAAGGAAAGCAGAGGACGAAAATAGATGGTGAGAGCTGGTTTTCAGATGCAGTGGTGCCCCCACGGTTGCCCCAACCACGGAATAGAAGAAGAAGAAAGAGTGTAGTGCAAGGCCGTCATGTGCTTCCTTACATTGCATATTATGTAGGCCTATGGTATACACTTCTTGTCCACTTGTATGCATTTCATTGTGGTTCATGTGATTTTTGTGCTGAGGGAAATTGTCATGATTGTTTTCCCATGACCTTGAAATTGAATAAAAGATTATTTTTTTAATGAGTTAGGTGCTTTTAGTATTTTTTTTCTGAATACGTTGTGTTCACCTTCACTAGCATGTTGTGTTATTGTACATGTATAGATCAGTGGCCTTGGAATTTTTTATTCAAATGACATTGAAGTGTCATCCAGAATTGCTATCCCAACCAATAAATACATATTATGGCACACTGTCTGTCTATCTTAATCAATCTTGTTTCCTTTTTTCGTAAATATCTAAAGGGATCATACCACTCTTTCATTTTTTCTATTCTCTTTGTCCACCCATCCATCCTACCATCTGTCTGTCGATGTCTGCTCCCTTGCATGTACACGTATCTTGATACTGAGACATTCCGATGAGTCCACTGTGTTTTGTTTCTTTTCCCCTTTTCAATCAGTGTGTGTGTGTGTGGGGGGGGGGCAATAGTTTAGATACTCTATATTAATATTACCATTAGTTGAAGGTACAAGTACAACCACTTTGTATGAATGCTGTAGACTTTCTGTAACAGCACCAAAATAGTACGCTTTTTAAAGAAGACATTGATCGAGCATTTCTTGAGCCATTTCATTAAAAGCGCGGTTTCTTTCTGCATTACTGGTATATGAAGTTTCTCTCAGTCACAATCTAGTGCAAACAGTCCGTTGAAGCATTGATTGGGTTTGGTTTGATATTGATAATATTAATACTCTCCCCTATCACTATCACCTGATGTTGATGGAGAGGGCCATTATATAGCTGTAGGATAGTATGATGCTTGCCTTAGACACGGCTTCAAAATGGAACTCGAGATAAGACAAGTGTTTATAGTTAATTAGACTGAAAGTTTGTAACCGGTACCACCTCCTCCTCCTCCTCCTCCTTCTCCTCCTCCTCCTCCTCCTCCATCATCATCATCATCATCATCTGGCAGTTAGTTCAGGGGTATAATGATTGCACCTTTTGGGGGCTTATCTTCGTTTTCTACGCACTTCTCCTTTCAGTATACTCGATCGGTATGTCCTTTTATAAACCTTGGCGCGTGCCTCTTCAAACTACCATATTATTATTTAATCTTACTATTACTGGTCTCATTGTATCAAAGAGGAAGAAGGGGGGGGGGGGGGGTATTCAGATTTACTTGCTGGTTTTAGCGCCGGCCGGACCGGCGGCGGTCTGAGAACTTGTTTAGTTGACGGCCAGCCAGTTTATTAGAGGCCTGCTGAGACTTTATATGACTTTTTTCCCTTTTGGGTTTATGCAAGCTTATTATAGGACTGTTAATTGCTAATGTTGAAAATGTTTTGGTGCTTTGCAGTTGTCGGGTTTGTCCAGGGGAAAGGGGAGGCGGGGGGCGGGGCGGTGGGGGTGCCCCGGGCCGCCCCCGATTTCTTGAAAAATAAATGCCCCATCTGGTCACGTACTGTTG